AGTCACCCTCTCTCCATTTCCTGGTCACCGATCAAAGAGGAGGAAAAAAAAAAAAAAACCACAGAAAACAGATAGATCCAAACCCTGGAGTTCAGAAAATTCTTGTAATTTTTTAAACATTATAAAGCAGGATAAAGTAGATACAATTCTTCATAATTTTAACAAAATATTTTGAAGAATTCTGGCTTCAGTAATCATTTCATAGTATCAAGATTGCCTCAACCTGCTCCTTTCACACAGCTGTGTTATGCCCTTTACGCCTTCAGACAAACCTCACCCAGCAGGAGCCCAGCACATCGCTGCCACATTACCCTTCCTGTCCATCACTGTGTGCACAAGGTAGCCTAAACAAGGAAAATATTCACAAAAGTGTTCCATAAGCAAAAAGAGATCAGTGCAAGTCTTCCCTGCCCACACTAGGGCAGGCTCTTAAAGAGTGGTGTTTAGCTGAGAGAGCACTTAGTTACATGGAAATCTTTAAGATTGCTTAAGACTCCACTAAATAATTCTGAACTGAAGGACACTGAGAAATTTAGTCCTATGCATGCTTGAGATCTACGGATAAAAGTTCTCCTGAAAAGATGACTGACTTGCAACCAGCACTGACTGGCAGGCCTTGTTTTTTTTTTTTTTTCTTCTTTTTTATAGATTAACAGGCATTCATTTTTATTTGGCTTACAAAAAGCTTGAACATGATCCAACAGAATACATAAAAACATTACTTGCTGTACACTGGGTCAAGTATCAGAACTGCTCAAACTGCATCTGTAAACAAGTTTTTATACATACTGACTGTCTCAACATGCTTCCAAATCGTTCCACATACCTGCTGGACAACAGAATTAAAGTTTCGCAATTACACAGTCTTATTGCTGTAGCTTCAAATCATTTCACAGTCACTTTTCTGAGATTCACAGCATCCCTAGAAGTCTGGGAAACGTTACTTCCCTTTTTCACAAGGGACTGAGACACTGGGTGGATGAGATCAGACTGGGACAGGGTGCAGAACTGAATCCAAATGGCCCCAGACACAGGACAGTGTCCTAAGCAGTTTCTTTTCCGTAACGCAGATGTCCAGATGACCAATGTTTGAAGTATTCAGTTCTCAGTGTGGCACTCCTATTTCTTTCTCAGTCCAGTGGGACTGAGTCAAATAAAAATGCCAATTTTAGGAAATAGCTCCGTTACTGGAATAATTGAAAACAGCAAATGCAGACAAAGCAGAATGTGCTGGCTTACTCAAAGCTGAACATATTTGCCTTAAGAACATATAAACAAGTCTATGAAAGAGCTGAGACAGAGGAAACGGGACAGAAATCCTAATAGTCTAACTCCAGAGCTGCTGCCACTTTTCTGCACAGACACAGCTATGAACGTGCAAAGATTCATAGCAAGAAGCTGTACATCTCTGAATCCCAAGCCTCCAAGCGTCTTCATTAACTGCATTAACAGCAGGACTTAACTCACATAGGTTTGAAACCCGGGCAAACTCTGGACTAAACAAAATCCAGAGGCCACACTGCTGCTATTGGTGCTTCACAGCCGGTGACTCGGCCTCAGACTCTGTCACTTGCTACAGAACTTGTGCTCCCAACTCCAATCTCCCATTTGTCACCAGCGTGTTCAGGTAAGGACGAAAAGGCTTAAAAAGCAGAAGAGCGCAGAACAACGCTGTGCGGTGCATCAACAGCCTGAGGCAGCTAGAGAGGCACAGGAATGGGTCGTGCCTATTCAGTGCAATGGGGAAAATCTTGTATTTTCAGTTTTTGCAAGCATCAGTACTGACATCAAATACTTGACAGGAAGCAGTCGTTTATGCAACCAGATCATGTGCTTATCCAATAAATCTGAATCCCCTTTCCATTCTTTTCTAAAGCCCTGGCAGCTGCCAACATTTCCAACTTCCTGCAAACTTTATTTCTACAATGAACCCAGCTAAAGCAAGTCCACATGCAGCAGCACATACTATTTTGCCCTGAGCATATATTCAGCCAAGTAAGAATCTGATTTTATCCCAACTTTTGTTTTTATCCAAACTTTTGTTTTTCCACTTAGCGGCACAGACAGTGCAGAGACCTTGCCATGGGAGTTAGCTCCCAATTCCCAGGAAGGTCATTTAGTCCTTATTCCTGTGAGCCAAACACTGATCTGGTCACGTCACATGAACAAACACATATCAGAAAGCCCTAGGCAAAAAAAAAAAAAAAAAAAACAAAAGTTAATCATGACCCCAAGCTGTCAGTACTGCTCCTGAGCCCCCTTTGCTGTGTTTCTTCTCAGCAAACATATACTGGTGGGCGGCTCTACACTACATGGCGTAACAAAATCCCTCTGATAACTACAAGCTTATATGGGAGATACTGGAATCTCTACTAACGCACAGATGAAGACTTGTCCATGGGACAACTTCAAAATCAAAGGCATCCAGTTCCTTAAGGATCCATGCTGATAAGCAGATCACATACTCTCAGTTATGCTTTTGCCCCTTTCCAAGTAAGGTTGTGTGGTATTCGACTTGCGGGGCTTAACTGGGTACCTCTTCACACCATCTGGCACTAGACAAGCCCAGTAAAAGTGCCAAGCACACAACTTCTCATTCAGTTGCCTTTCTGCATCATCTGTGATGCATGACACGGACCTCCCAAGCCAAAGAAACAAAATGAAAAGGGATATAACTACAGGGTAGTGTGAGGAAAGATGCATGGCACCACCTTTCTCTAATCCTGCGATATAAGCGATCTCAAAGTGCACTTCAAAAGGCTTTAAAACAGATCAGCGACCAAATTAAATCATTTATCTTGGAATAGCTCATCACAGCCACTTTGACTTTACACATCAGAAATCTCAGTCATATTTGGCTGCAAGCCTTTTACTCTTTATACATTCCCTGCTCAATTGAAGAATTAAACTCAGCATAACCCTTACAATATCCTGTCAGCCTGCTCTGGCTCCTTATGTGCCTCGGAGAGGAGGAAACTCCGGCCTCAGGTCACTTCCGCCGACTTTTGGCCAGTTCCTTCGTATCAATTCCATGGCAAGTGCGTGCTCTCGATTTCTCCTAGCTCCTTATGAACTTTGAGATGTGCTGCAAATATCAGAAAAAGGTAGCTTAAAACAAAACAAAAAACCTTACTACGAAGGACTTGACCCATTCTCAGAAATCAAGCAGTGAAATAACAGAGCAGCAATTCTTCCCTAGGTAAATGGTGCTGTTCTAGGTTCTCGTTTGTTCCGGGTATCTAACGGGCTAATTCTCACTTCACCTGAATTTATTCTTACTCGCGTGGCAGCTATTGGCTGCTCCCTTTCATCTCTGTTCCTCCAAAAGGAAAGGGAAATGGCAGGTACCAAATCCCAGTCCTTTAAATTTTTTCCAAAGGCATTCCTTCCCACTGTCAAAAGTGGAAATTCTATTGTGCTATCTTCAGTACTTCACCTCGACACTTACTTAATAATCAAAGAAATGAGTATGTTTAGTCTCTGTAGCACTGAGACAGAGCATTTATTTTAAGTGATTAATATCAGTCAAAATGCTGCTTTTATTCCCATTTCTTATGCTCACCTACCTTGTCTTAATTCTGTCTCTATGGAGATTAACATCAGGACATTTGTCTTCACAGACTTTAGTACAGGTCATAGGCACAAGGAGGGAAAAAAAAAATCTATAATAGAACTGCAACTGGCTATTCCTTCTACAAGAAAGTCACTGGTATTTACTTTTTCCTTTAGGCCAAATTAGTACGACCCTGGACAGTTAACCAGGTACAGAAAACCAGACCACAGTAGCTTCTGATGTCAACTAGAACGCTTTGGAATATCCCATTGCCTCTCTTCAGCCGTGGAGAGAGGTTCCCCATTCCTTGCTTTGCAATTCTTTTTGCAAGAGTAAGTGAGGGGACAAGATGAGCCTTATAGCAAAGCACAGAGATTCTTTTAAAAAAACCACTTAGCATAAACTTAGTACACAGTTATGTGCTGCAACTCACGTCTTGCCTTCGCAGTGACACTAGGAGAGGGGAGAAGACCAGAAATCACACTACTCTCCTCAGTGTCTAGTGCCTGTCAGCACTGTAAGCAGCCGAAGGAGACCACACCGCTGGACCAAGGGTTGGCATGCAAACAACGACTGATCTGCAACCACAGCAGTTTTCTTTGGGTCACCTATGAGAAAGCAAGCATGACTAGTGATTGAATTTTGACTTTCAACTTCTCTGGAGATAGGAAGTCAGTTTAAATAAATAAATGGAGATTTTAGATTGTTCTTCAGTTTGAACTACATTTTCACCTTTGGAGTGCAGGAAATTTAGACTGTAGTACACAGAAGTAATCAAGACTATTAACAGGCCATTCCCAGTGCAAAAGGAGGGTTGATGCAAAACAAGATACACATTCTTTTTGGGTTGGCTCTTTAAAAACCCATATTCTTTCAAAAAAGAGAATATAGGTGCGATACAAAACCAGGATACAATATCGCTCATACAATCATTACAACAAGTGCACAGGTAGGACAGGCTAAACTTGCATTGGCATTCACTCTGCGATCCACATTCCAGGCTTTCTTGGTCCATTTCCTTAATATCCATATATCTCATTCTCCACCCAAGCCGATTCCTTGCTCCTCCCTACGTGATCTCCACATAGCTCATAGATATCATTGGTCACAAAGCCACTTTCTGTACTGGCCAACGTCACAAAGCCACTTGATGTATTCATTGCCACATCGTCATAATCCCCGGAGAGACTATCAAGCATCTTATCTTCTCGCGTACGGAATGAAGAATTCTTTATGTCAGGCCTAGTTCCAGCCAGATCTGCTTCCGATTGCTTCTTAATTACTTTGTAAACCTCCAGATCTGGACTGTTCCTCCTAGGGGTTGAGAGCCAGGCATCTTCTTCCTTTGGGCTTGCATCT